AAAAAAAAGAAACTCTGCAGCCTAGAAAGACTAGCATGATATATTTGAAGTGCTGAAAGAAAAAATTTCCAAGGAAGAATACACTACATGGTGAAGTTATCATTCAGAATTAAAGAAGAGATAAAGAGTTTTCCTGAAAAGCAAGAACTAAAGGAGTTGATCACTACTAAACCAGCCTTACAAGAAATGTTAAAATAAACCACCCAACTTTACACTTCAAGGAACTAGAAGAAGAATAAACAAAGCCCAAAGTCAGTAGAAGGAAGGAAATAACAAAGATCGGAGCAGCAGTAAATGAAACTGAGACTAGAGTGACAAGAGAAAAACCAATGAAAACCAAGAGCTGCTTCTTTGAAAAGATAAAGAAAATTGACAAATCTTTAGCTAGCTCACCAAGAAAAAGAGAAGGCTCAAATAAATAAAATCAGAAAAGAAAGAGGAGACGTTACAGCTGATACTACAAAAAATACAAAAGACAATGAGACTACTATAAAAAATTATACACCAACAAATTGGACACCCTAGGGAAAATGGATAAATTCCTCGAAACATACAACCTTACAAACCTGAAAATGGAAGAAATAGAAAATCTAAAAGACCAGTTACTAGTAAGGAGATTGAAACAGTAATTAAAATCCTCCCGACAAACAAAAGTCCAGGACCGAATGGCTTACCTGGGGAAATCTACCAAATATGCAAAGAGGAATTAATACAAATCCTTCTCAAACTCTTCCAAAAGATAGAAGAAGAAGGAACACTGTCAAATTCATTTTAAAAGGCCAGCACTACCCTGATATCAAAACCAGACAAAGACACAAGAAAGAAAATTATAGGCCAATATCCCTAAAGAACATAGATGCAAAAATCTCAAGCCTATATTAGCAAACCAAATTGAACAATACATCAGAAGGATCATACACCAGGTTCAAATTATTCCAAGGATGCAAGGATGGTTCAACATTGGCAAATCAATCAATGTGATACACCATATTACCAAAATGAAGGATAAAAATCATATGATCACTTCAATAGACACAGAAAAAGCATTTGAGAAAATTCCACATCTGAGGGCAGCAAACTATGCTCCATGGGCCAAATCTGGCCTGTCACCTCTCTTTGGATAGCCTGCAAGGTTTCACATTTTTGAAAGGTTGAAAAAAAATCAAAAGAAGAATATTCAGTGACACATAAAAATTACACAAAATTCAAATTTTACTACTACCTATAACAATCTTGTTGGAACACAGCTACATTCATTCATTTACGAAGTATTGTCCATGGCTGCTTTCACTTCATGCTCAATGGCAGAGCTGAGTAGTTGTGACAAAGACCATCAGTGTTGCTCCCATTGCTTCGCACTGCTGCTCAATAAAGGCAAACTACAGTGACACATTTATATCTGGATAGTGTTTTGAGTCCCTTGTATATCCTGATACTGTAAAATTTTTAATTTCTTATTAACCTGTCATGTCTAGTGTTGAGCTTTTAAGGCACAGAGCCATGCGGATGACTTTGTTGTTGTAATAAATGGCAAGTATTGTGCTAATCATGCAATAATATAACAGCGGTGGTAAATGTTGACATTTATATGTTGACATTATCATACCAAGAACTCATCACAATATTCCCAACTCAGAATTAAGTATTGATTATAAGAATTCAGGATATTTAAAATGAACTATTTCAGCATGGCAGAATTTCTTCCCCAAAATAAAAAAACAAAACAAAACAAAAATGAGGTTCCAACAAAAGTCAGTTTCTAAGTGGCTCATTGTTAGCAACGCAAGGAAAGCCATTTACCAATGGGGAGCTGCTTAAATTTTGTGTGCTTGCAGTAGATGAAGAGATGTGTACAGAGAAACTAGACAAGACTATTAGCCTTCTGGGGCACCCGGGTGGCTCAGTCAGTTAAGCATCTGACTCTTGGTTTTGGCTCAGGTTGTGATCTCATGGATTGTGGGACTGAGCCCCACAACTGGCTCTGCACTCAGCAGGGAGTCTGCTTGAATTCCATCCCTCTGCTCCTCCCCCAACTTGTGCATGTGCACGCTCTCTCTCTAATAAATAAATAGATCTTAAAAAAAAAAAAAGACTATTAACCTTATGGTGAGAACAGCTGCTTGAATAGTTGAGGACATTCCCAGTAATATTAATAGGAAACTAAAAAACAAGACAAATTATTTCAAGCCACTATCCTTGGTTTTTGATTAGTTGGCAAATGTTACCAGTACTACTCATTTGTTTATTCGAGAAGTCAGTGCTTTGTTTGAAGTGACTGAGGTATTAGCCTTGACTAGTCTGCATGGAACAACTATAGGTGAGAATATTTTCAAAGAATTTGAGAAATTAATAGTACAACCTGAAGTGGAATCTGCTATGGTGGTCAAAGTGTGTGGAGCAGAAAAAGATATAATTTGACAAATTTACAAAGCTTGTGAAAATGTAGTGTTTAATGCCTATGGTTATTCATTGCATTATTCATCAGCAGTACTGTGTGGGAAATATTTGCATCTGGTAGGTCAGACCTGATAGGTGTTAAGACCCGATAGGTGTTACTGGATCAGTACTGTCAACAGTAAACTTCATTCACTCTCCTGGACTTACCCACTGCCATTTCTGTGAATTTCTTTCAGAAACAGAAGCTGAAGACCCTGACCTGTGCTATCACATAGCAGCTCAATGGCTCAGCAGGGGTAAAGTTTTATAGTGATCTTTGAACTTAGGGCTGAGATTGAAATTTTTTTGAATGAGAAGATTTTCCTAGTGGTGAATGGCTTTGGAAATTAGTTTTTACTGCAAATTTGATGTTTCTTAATGAATTCAACCTAAATTACAGGCAAAAAAATGCTTACATATAAAACTTTTGAAAGGTTCATTTTGAAACAGCTGACATTTAATCACAAGAGTAATGTCGAACTGTTTTTACAGTTCTCATCCTGTCAAAAGTTAGAAGAAGCAAGGTCTTCATTCTTACACAAATTTGTAGCAGATATATTTTCTGAGCTCAAACTATAGTTCCAGTGATATTTTACCGACCTCAATGCAAGTGCAAAGGAAATTTCCATATTTCAAGATCCTTTAACTGTGCAATCAAGGAGCTTCTGCCTAGTGACATGCTAAAAACCAAACACCAAAGAATAACAAAATTCCACAAAAGCCTTCAAAAAGGAGAATATGCTCAAATAAAATTATATCAGTATTTGGCACTACCTATCTATGTGAAAAGATATTTTCAAAGATGATAAAATATATAAAATCTTATTACAGATCAGAACATTTTGCATTCAATTATGAACTTGGTATTCCAATTATGCAAAATGTTATTCCCCCAGAAGAATTCAATTCTTCTCATTACTAGACCTGTATTACATGAAGTTGCACTCAATTATTACTATATATTAAATATAATCAATAAAAAAATGAGTGGAAATTTGTTTTCTCTTTTGTCATATAAGTACCTACATAATTTCCTCGATTTTGTTTCTCAACCTGCAAAGTTTACTATATGGTCCTTTACAGAAAAAGTCTGCTGATTCCTGACTTAAATTAGTGGTTTCCAAAGCAGCTGTTCATCAAAATCTTATGTATTAAAAAAATACGGGCGCCTGGGTGGCTCAGTTGGTTAAGCGACTGCCTTCGGCTCAGGTCATGATCCTGGAGTCCCGGGATCGAGTCCCGCATCGGGCTCCCTG